TGATATGCAAACTGAAGGCAGACACAAGCATATCAATAAAATGCATCATATAAACTATTTGAAAACTTAAATGACAATTAAATAAATTATCCATCTTGTTTACCAATTCCACAATATTATCATGATAGAATATTTTTCTTTATATGAATAAGAAGAATCATATATGTATACTGATGTCATAGAAAAAGACATTAAAATGTACAAACTTTTTGTTTCTTTGTTTGTCATTACTTGCTTCTTTTCCACTGTTTTCCACAGTAAGAGGTGACAGTTAAGGTACCTACAAATGTTATTCCAAAGGCTCAAGGATCATGGCTTGTGAATGGATAATGAGACAAAATGAAATATTGTGTATCATTTTCAACATGAAGTAACTGGCGACAAGTAGGGGTCAGTGATGAAAATGAAGCTACATCTGAAGCTGACTGTTACAGTCCTTTCAGAACTCTTGAGTGGATGGAAAGTTTGGGCAAAGTTAAATTGAGCCTGCAAAGATTTCTTGCCCCTGGGAAAAATAATTGCTTCATTCTATTGTCAAAAGGCAAAGCAGCATCAGCTTAATTTGCCCTAGTCTGCCATAAACTGCAGATGGAATGACAAAACATAGTTAGAATAAAATTAAACACATCTGTCCTAATCTAAAGCAGGTGAGGCTAGCCAGCCAAGAAACATCAAGGTATTACAACTGCACAGATTGCAGTACACAGACCCTTAGTGGAGGACCTGCTGACAGTTGAGATAAAAGGCTATGTAACTGTATCATTTTGTTTTTTCTTTATTGGGGTGCCTTCTCGTGCTGATTATCAACATAGCTATAAGACCTATCAACCAAGGTAATGACTAAATAGGAAAAAATCATTTATTGGAACTCCAAGAATGTATTAAGCTTTAACTATTTTTTCCTATCCTTCAAGAACACATTTCTTTAAGTTAATTAGAATTTTAGAGAATCAGTAATTTTGACAAATATGTCAATTAGACATGAAATTTATCCAGGACACTGATTTTCTCTTAAAAGTATCATCCACACCTACACCATCATCTTGATAACAGCTACATGTAGAAAATAGCAGGGTAAGGTATGGCTTTGGTGACTAATAGTAAAGCCAGGTAAATTTGAGAATGAATGTTATTGTGCACAATAAATTTCATGGGACAACATGCTTTTACATATATATAGTTCACAGGGCTTACAACCCCTTCTGCAGAATCTGTGGGATTCCCCTTGGACTTTATCATTCGCATAAAGCCAATACTATTCATAAAGAAAGCACCAGTGTTTGGTTGTCCTTGTCGCAGAGGGATTATCTCAGAGTAGGTTTTGTCCTGGAGCTCCCTACTATTTTACAGAAACTTCACTGAGCTTGCATTAAACTGTGGATTTTTCTGGCTATTCCTTTCTCTGCCTTCTAGTTCTTGCACAGGTGTAAAACATGCATTTTAAGATGAAGGCTTTTTATGTTTGCTTTGATTTTTTATCATCCCGCCTTTCACATGCTTTACCTCTAATTGTATTTTGTAATTGCAGGCAAAATGATTACTTAGGAAACTATAAAGAAATGAGCACTGTGGTCATAGAACTGCCAGTATGCAGTCAATATTTCTTAGTAAACATTTGTATGTGGTTTTCTTTCCTAGTTTGTGGTGCTGATTGCAGGCCCTTCTGAATGCTAAACAAGTGCTCTACCATAGAGGCTCACCTCAAAAGGCTAATGTTGTTACACTATTGACTTTCTTTTCTTATCTTTGTCTTGGACAACATAACTACATTGAGAATGCTATTGGGTATGGCAAAAACAGATTTACAGTAGGACCCCCTAATAGCTCCTCATGACATTTTTTTGCTTATTTTCTGTTGTCTGATTTGGGTAAGGCCACAATTTTAATTTCACCTAAAATTAGCCACCTAATACCAGAGGACCTTCTTTAATATCTGGTAGACAATGACATACTGAATTTCACTTGTGAACAATGTGACATTTATACTGACTAGGACCTAAATTTTAGGTCCTAACATTTCTTGAATTTTTTCAAAAGCATCTTTTCTTATCTTTTGACATATTTACTTATGAGCTGAAGGATCTCTCATCTGCCTCCTCATGTGCTATCTCTCCCCTTAATGACTCAATGACCTTTAACAATTCATGGTGTAGGGAAAACCCTCCAATTCAATACCCACCTTATTATCAGACATATTTATTTGAAATGTTCCTGTTCAGAAAAACTGTTCAGAAAAAAAAATACTGCCTTTAAAACCTAACGCATCACACTTTTACTTAAAATTAACTACTTAATCTCACATTTATGAACTCTAAAATCCAACATACATTTCTTGCTATACTCCAAAACCCACATCTATTTTATTACAATGCCATTTTGGATCATTGGATGTTATAGTATTTTTGTCATTTCTATTCTTTTAAATGCTGTTGTGCAAATATTAATATTGTGGATATGATACAAAGTACAGAAAAATTAACAATATGTTGTAATCTTATGTCTGAGAATGTAGCTAAGCAGTAGAGCACTTGTCTGACATTTTCAAGTTCATAGGCTAGATTCAGATCATGTGAAAAACAGAAAGAGGTGAAACACACAAAACATAAATTAAAATATATTATATTTACAAAAATGCTAATATAGCACATGTAAGATTTGCTAAATACCTCGGTGTGCAACCATCATTCTAATTAAGTTGTTATTCCATCATGTTATATTCATTAAATGCATGTAATTGTATGTCACCTGAAAATGTTTTCATGCTTTTATTACTGGATAGTTTTATGTTAACTAGGCACAAGCAGGAGTCATCAAAGAGAGTGGAGTCTCAATTGAGAAAATGACACCATAAGATGCAGCTGTGTTCAAGGTTGTGGGACATTTTCCTAATTAGTGATTGATATGAAAATACACATCCCAATGTGGGTGGTACTATCCCTGAGATGGTGGTCCTGGTTTTTATAGGAAGGCAGGATGAGCAAGCCAATGATGAGCACCCCTCCATGGCCTCTGCATCAGCTCCTGCCTCCAGGTTCCTGCCCTGACATTCTTTGATGATGAACAATGATTTGGAAGCATATGTGAAATAAATTCTTTTGTCCCCAAGTTACTTTATTCATGACATTTTATCACATCAGTAGTAACCCTGACTAAGACAAGGTGTAAGCAAAAGAGAAAAAAAATCACTGGGAGAATCAACAACAAAAAGAAAGATCAGCTAAGTAACAGCTGGGGTCCAAATTACTGGATAATCCAAAGAAAAGAACTGGCAACTTTACATACTTCTAATTCTATTTGTCCATTAATATCAGTACTTATATTTCATACTGTGTTCTAAGAAAGAAGGTCAGTGTGTATGTGTACTGCATAGGGGCTTAATCTCCAGAAAGAAGCAGGTCAGAATGAGATTTTCTTGATATTTGAATGAATATAAATGCAAGCCTCTAGAATATCTCTCTTGCTAAAACTCTTCCAAGACACTGCTTTTTGGTCAGTTCAAATAAAACTATATAAGACTTTTCAGCTTGCCTTGCCCTTATGGATATTACTGCAACAACTTACGCTGCCTGGGGAAGGTCAACTCATGTTTGGAATGGTGTCGAAAACAAACGAAGTTATGATGGACACTGCAAAATTGTTTTGGTGACTATTCATCCTAAATACTCTTTGGAATTGGGAGATGACAGTGTAATTTATCACTTTTCATTTGGGAAGCTGTGTTCACACTAGGAGCATCTTCCTTCACATACATTTATATTAGTGATGTAATAAAATAGGTTAAAACTGTCTCTAGATGATGCTAAAGATTCTTTTAATTTTTCCTCCTCCCCATTGTCTCCCTCCTCTTTGATTATTTCTCCTCCCCATTTCCTTCTTTCTTCTCTTCCTCATTCTTTTTCCCATTGCAAGTGGCATCATAACTTATAAAGTCCCATTTAAAATGGTCAAATGAATCTAACTCAAGTCCTCTTTGAATATTAATCCATACTCTTCCCCCCAGAGTTTTACCTCAAGACTATCTATCATCCCTTCCTCATTGAATTTGTAGTGCTGCTTTGGGTATGCCAGTTCACTCAGGGACACCTATCAGGATTTCTTGATGCTCTTCTGTTTCCTAAGTGTGCCATTTATGCCCCAAATATGTTCCCTGAAACATTTTCATGAAAGTAAAGGCACATGCATGACTTTATATTTATGATGGGTCATATCTTTCTGTCAGTGTTTTAAATTTGACAGGCATTAGTGTGAGATGTTAAAGTTGAGCAATAGTTTCATTTTCTAGTCAAATCCTGGTCCCTCTATATTTCTTTGTAATTTCATAAGAAGGTTTCTGTGCTTGACTTGTCTCTTTCCTATAGTAGCTTATCATGCTCAGAGTCAACTGACAACTTAACAGTCTGTGTGGAAACCTTATTACTCCTATCCAAAATGTCGTTACATATGCTTTCTGTCTTACAAGTTATTACAGGTGACAACTTCACCAATCACCATTCTCTATTCAACAATGGTGGCCACTTTTTTAGGCTACTAAATCCATTTTTTAAAGGACAAATTTCCATCTGTCACTCAACACCAGAGATAAAGCCACAGTAGTGCACCTTACTTCAAGGTTGCACTTTCTCTCTGAATCTTTAATATTTCTGTCAGTTCAAGAAGTACATTGGCCTGAATGCATCCATGTGGAGGAAGTTTTCAAAGAGCCATCAAAAGTTAATACTTTAGTCATGTGGTACTTTCAAGTCTATTAACATCTCAATGCTAATTTGAGTACATATGCAATTTCCAGATTCTACATATTAGGAAATACATCCTAGCACATTAGAAAGACAAACCAAAATGTTACAAAAGAAAACATGTATGGTTGTAAAGACATTTATTGAACTAACTAGAGAAACCAGTCTAGCCAGAATTTGAGAAGTAAGCCAGTAGACCAAGTCAACTTGGGTGTTCCAATGCTATGACAAACATAAAAAGTAAAACTCTGACTCTCTGTTCCCCAGGTGACATTTGCAACCCCAATCCATGTGAAAATGGTGGCATCTGTCTGTCTGGATTGGCTGATGATTCCTTTTCCTGTGAGTGTCCAGATGGCTTCACAGATCCCAACTGTACGAGTGTTGTGGAGGTTGGTAAGTGTGAGATTTAAGCATTTCAATAGTCTCAATGTTTGTTTAGTGAATGACTCACAGATGTGACTCTTATGGGCTGAAGATACTTTGTAATATTGCATTGAGCTTACTTGCCTGAATTACTATTAATTTTATTGCCTTTAATTGATATTTTAATTATTTTGTGTTGATATATTCTTAAATACATCATTGTTCCCAGTTCAGTGATTAACAGGATAATTAAAGAAACTGCAAATAATAATTAAATAAAGTCAATTCCATATTCATCTGATATTAACAAAAATACTTTATGCAAAGTAAGGAAATAGTTCTTATGCTGACTTAGGTAAAATCATTACTATAATAGGTAGGACTTTTTAATGAATTTGCGCTAGAAACTGCCCAAGCCTCCCTACTGTCACCCACATTCAGAAGACCTAGTTCAGTTTTAGGCACATTCCCCAGCTGTCAGTTCAGAGTTTGTGGGGCCCCTAGCATAAGAACCAGCATTATTTCCTAGTTCATGAGCTGGCATTTTGAAGCCCACTCCCTATGGAGAAATACCTTGCTCAGTCTTCATACAGGGGGGAGGGCCTTTGTCCTGCCTCAAGTGATATAATAGACTTTGTTGATTCCTCATGGGAAGTCTCACCCTCTTTGAGGAGTGGATGAGGGGCAGGGGATGCAGAGGGGGAAGAAGGGAGAGGGAACTGGCATTGGTATGCAAAATAAGATAGATTTTAATTTAAATAAATATTAAAAAAGAAAATGAGAACAAAGAAAATGTGCATAATGTCTTACATGAACTGATAAAAATGTATAAAACATGAAAATATAAAATGGGAAAATGAAAATTGTTCTTTAAGAATAAAAAAAATCTCAAGGAATTCAGAAATATTTTAAAAACCACAATATATAAACTGTACAATTTTATTCTCAGGGTCAAAGTAGCTCTATGATTAGGTTGGAAAACAAGTTACAAAATGGTCTAGCACTTAAGTATGAAATACAATCATGTTGAATAAAATGTCAGACATGAAAATTTCTGGAAAATTGGACACTTTGGTGGCTATTGGAAAACAATTTGGAAAATGAAAATTATTAGTGTTTATAGCCAGCGATGAGTTTATGTTAGGCAGTGATGAGTTTATATCTCCTATCATTGTTTCTGATGCTTCTGACTAGGAGGCTGTGTTTTGCATGAGCCCCATAACTATTAGCTGAACAATAAAAATAATCATTAAATGAAATCGTTAATTTAGCATGCCCAGAATCCACTTAAGAAATTTAATGTGCTTTATTTTTAACATGATTCTTATATTTTTGTACTACACTAGAATGATTGAATCTGAAAAAATGACAACTATTATTTTTAAAATATTTTGTCAGTTTAATTCTTATCAAAGATAATTCTCTTGCTAGTCTTTATTAAGTCGGCAGTATTTTATGGAGTTTGATATTATTCCATAGAAATAAAGCTGGTAGAATCATTTTGAACTCATCTGCACATATATAAAGTACAATTTTATAGTTTAATATGAGTCACATATTCAGAAGTCTATATTACCAAAATAAATTATGCCTGCAAGTACTTCTACCAGGAATGTTGAAATTTACAACTAAATTTTGTTTCATTATTTTAATTCCACCGATATCAAATTCATAGTTACTTAGTAGCATACAATGTTTCTGTCAATATTTTGAAAATTCAAATTCTGATTCAAAGAAAAATATGATAAATAATTTTAATTGGTGTCTATCATTTTGCAAGAAGGGTGCCTTAAGAAAGCTATCACAATTCATATGAGAGTTCAGTGACACTTTAGGAACTGGATGCTTATGTAATTACATTTTCATTATTATGTTAGTAAAATCCTCATGATAATTAGATATTTAGTAGTTAAATACATTATTTACTGTATTTGTTATAAAATGTTTCATACAACCTCACCCTTCTGTATGGTGTATTTAGCAGTTCTTGGAAAAATTGAAACATTTTCACCTACAATGTAGCATACCATAGATGTTATAGCATTTCTCGTTTTATGTATGGGACAGTAATATCAAAACAAGAAAAAAACATAATATAAAACTTAAATGTAACAGGTTAAAATGCCTTTTGTGTGTTAAGTAGCATTGATTCTTTATAGAATAATTTGGGTATGTGTATGTGTGTGATTACATGTGTGTGTATCTAAAATAATGTGGGTATGTGTGTGTATATACACATATGTGTTTGCATGACAAACATGTGATGGAAGTGAATGTGATTGACATGCATGTGATGTGGAGGCCACAGGAAAACTCTGTTGTCCTCTTCTACTGCTTTCTAGGTCATCATCTTGAGTCAGAGTAGGAATTATATGAGCCTGTGGTTGTTCAGGTAGAAGAGCTGGCAGCAAGCCTTGGCAATCCTGTCTTCTCCATCTGATGCATTTCTGCAGTTACAGGCACACGAAGCCACTACATCTGGTTTTATATGTGGGTGCTTGAGATCCACACTCAGACCTTCATGCTTACACAGCCAGCATTCCACCCCACTAAACATTTTCCCCAGCCCTTTAAAATTATTTCGTAAAAGAGTTAGAATTTAGGAGAAAATAGTAATTTCCTGATTAGGTACTTTCATACAAGACAGGTGTTGTCTTTTAATTTCTACAAACTCTTTCTCAAGCCTGTATTTAGCATGTATTAACATAATATTGAACATTTACTAAGTAAAAAGGCTAATTAGAAGTGCTTTTAATACCTTGCCTATTTTAGTGTTTAGCCTATTGTTAAAGTGTAGGGACCAAATATTTGAAGACTGATCTTGTTGACACCACTCCTCATGTGTTTTCAATTCATAACTACCTGAGATGTTTTGTAGTCATTGTTTCTCCATAATAGGAAGCAACAGAGCAGAAAATGTAAAGAATGGTGAGGTTTTATATACAAAAAGTGAAATAGAAAAGTAGGTATTTTAAGGTAATATCTTAAAAACCATAGAACTATATCATTGTATTCTACTTACACATTAATATATTATTTACTCATCATTATAGAATGATATACATTTTACAATTATTTAATACTTTAAATATAGTTTTTATTCTATAAGAAAACAAAATGAAAGTACTCATATTGTGCACAAAATTTATGAAAATCCTCTGAGTCCTCAATCTTACACAAAGAACTATGGACCGTGGAGAAAAGCTAGGAGCAGGAGAGGTAGGAAGAGCATAGCAACTGGCTGTCCATTTCTAAATGATAAGTGCTGAGAACATACATACAAGTAGTATTTTAGAAACTGAACAGGTTAATTTGGGAATACACACACACACACACACACACACACACACACACATATATATGCATACAATAAATATGAGAAATAGAGGCCATGAACTTGAAGAAGGAGGCATATAAGACAGGATTTAGAGAGGGGAAATGAATGAAAAAAGGGACAATTATCATAATTACAGTATAAAAAGCTAAAACTTTATTTTCATGTCACATTTTAAAATTATATTCCCCAGTGATTTCACAATAAGCAAGGGATAATTTAAATGCATATTCAGGAAAAATCCATCATGATTTTGCTTCAGACTTTAATATAGCCATATTTCTTCCTTGTCACTTGTGGACAGAATTCTGTGGCTGTGCCCACATTTCTTCCAAGTCATTTGTGTACAGATCTCTGCGTGGCTATGCCCACATTTCTTCTCAGTCAATATCTGGCACATATTCCTAAACATCGATATGAAATTGAGTGTTTACATACTCTTTCTATAAAGAAAATTTCCATTGATTGTGAAGAGTTTAGATTTTATCAATGGAAATATCAGTAACTCTGAAAACATCTAATTTATGTATCACTACTCTATATATGTTATTCAAGTAATTTAAAAATTCAAAAAATTATTAATAGTAACAGTACAAGCAAAGCCACATAGTACATTAATGAAATCAAAGGAAACAAACCGAAAGATTTTAAGAAAAATTATAATCTTCATGACTAGGTCTGTAGTTAAGATCACAGAATATTAACTTCATGAAAGATCAATATTACAACCCCAGAATTCCAATCAATCAATAAAAGTCTTAATTTACCTTCATTCATCAATGGATATGGGCTAGGGATATTTATTGAGTTATTTATGTAATGATCAAGATTAACATTAAACGTACAGGAATTGCTATCTAGTTTAGGAGAGAACAGACAAAGAGATGATCAAAATATGTATAGATAGGTAATAAATAGAAATACTGGTGTAAATACATGAAGTTATAAAAAGTTCATGTAAGAGAATTCGTGTGCGAATGAAAAATGTCACATCAAAAAAAATGTAAGTCTTATCTAGGAGATAAGAAACTAAACTTATCACACACAAAAGGCATCTTATGTTGAAAACTAGGGGATAAGAAAAGTCACCAACAAATTTGTGTTTCCTACCAAAAACAACAGAAATCATTCACATAATAAAGATGCTGTTGCCACAATATGAGAACAGATGTAATAGACATTCTGTTAAAAAGTAAGTTTAACATTCCAAATATTGAATTATAGGAATTTGCTAGGCATTTTTTAAAATGTCATTCATACATTTGGAAATCATAATTGTGCATAGGTTTATTAAAATATGGACAGAACAGAGTGTCTGTCCTTAAGAATTAGTAGAATGTTTTACAATTAATGAAGCAGATATTCCTCAATATATTATTTATTACTTACTCATTCATCAAATATTTGAGTTTCTACTATGTGCACAGAGCATATGGTTGGTAAAGTATACGTTTTGTCTTTAACGATCTAAGGGAACATGACGGGATGTATGAAGGATTGAGAAGTTAGCATCTAATATAAAATCTAGAGCAGCTCTGAGATAAGTACTAAGATAAACAGAAATGTGGAGCAAGGATGGTAGACGAAAGTAGACTTTGAACACGGAGATGATTTTCCTTTAAGATGGGTATGTCATTACAGCACAGAAATAATTCTTAAAACCAAAACATGTTTCATATAAATAAGGTATTAAACA